CTCTCTGATTGGTTGATGCTGCGCGTCGAGCTGCAAAAGTTCAGATTTCCCAACTTCAGCGATTTGGACGATTTTCGACGCTCAGATCGTCCAAATCGTCCAAATCGCGCTGCTCTAATCGCGCTTGAGGCGCCGCAGAACTTCCCGACGTTGCTTGAAGCGCGTCCACCATAGACTTTGTATGTAAACCTGCTGCTCCTGACGCTGAAATCGCGTTTGGTGTGAACGCACCATGAGAGTGAGTTCGTGGTTGTTGATGATTGTACAGCACCTTGTGAATATTTTTCTCTGAAAGGTGCTTTATAAATAAAACTTTACTTGCTTTCAGGACATCTGCAACAAGTGCATGGCAACTGCACTTAGGCTCAAAGTCTGAAACACTAGAGACTTGTGTCACTCTTTGAAACGAGTCTCTAGTGTTGAAAGCAATGTTGTTTTAGTGGGTGAAGGCTGAACCAAAAAAGGCTTCAAACTGAATGAGTTCAAAATGAAATCACACAACCAGCCTTTAAAGAAAAGACAGATGGAACAGCATTAAGAGTGAAGACACAGGGCTGCTAACTTTTATTTTTTGTGACTGCTCTGGTAGTCTGTGTGGCATTCTCTGATACTGTCTGTCTATATATTTTTTTCTTTACTTCAGAGACCATCTGTTGCTGTGAAGTAAGTCAAAGCTCCCTTAGCAGCCTTGTCAAAACACAAGCTTGGTATTGTTTCTTGTCATAGTAAAGGGCTGTGTTCCAGTTTCTTTAGATTTTTTTTTCCACAGTGAGACAAGTAACTCCAAATAAAATATGCTTTATTAAGAGCTCGGCTAATTTAGCACTCTTTTTAGAGTTTGAGCTTATTTCTTTTTTAAATTATATGTAAAGTTGTGTCAATTAGATTAGTCTCAATAATTTTTTTTAAAACCTGTGCAGTGATTTGAAATAAATGAATCATTCACTCTTAATCATGTAGATCTGACATGTATTGTCTGAAATGAGCACAAAGTACATGAAATAACAGCTTTATTACCCATCAGATCTGTTTCAGTGACATCTGAGGGGGGATAGAGAATTACTGACTTCTACAATAATCTGCAAGCCATCATTCACCCTGATTTCCATATCGCATGAACAAAATGGATGTTTGTAAAAGCACCACTGTTTGCAAGGAAATGGTTGCTTTTTTTCTGTCCTGTTTGATGTCAACAAATTGCCTGCTGAAGGCTGGATTTTAGCACAGCTTCCTCTGGTTTTCTCCCAGCCAGCCTGCCAGCTTATTACACTGCTGCAGTCCAGGACGTTGCTGTTTGTTTATGGAGACCGACAATATTGAAATCAACAACATGAAACACCATGAACTAAACCAAGTTGATCAGCTGTCAGTCTAACGGTAACAGTACTTCTTTGCAAATCCACAACAATGTTTGATTCATAAATGTTTTAAAATAGTTTTTTAATAATATATTTTATTTAATTCACTTTAATTATATAGCACCAAGTCTTGATAAAAATTGTCATTGTGACTTGGCACCGTATAAAAACATTCACATACATTATTAAAGCTATCTTACTTTTTCTATTATCAAGAATACTAATTTTAATTTATTTCTGAAATGCAATTAATATTATAACATTTTGTTCAATTCTGCTGACCTCTCCTTCACCATCTATGTCAAAATGATATGAATTGCATGCCTAATGTTTTCAATTAGACCTTCAAAGGGCTCCATGGAAACAATTCACATTTGATTCAACCAGTGTGTTTAAAACAATGTGTTTTATTTTTTTAACCTTAATGGACTGCCAAAAAAAAAAAAAAAAAAAAAAAAAAACGTTTTGTCACTCCCCCAAGAGACTTCTTCAGTCTGAGGAG